TTTCGAATAGAATGTTGCATTTAAAGGCAGGAAAAAATTTATCTCTTTGTCATCTCGAAGATTTGATTTTTTATTCATTTAGTATGTGCTTCAAATGAAGTGTGACATCGAGGAGCATTTGTTTTTGTTGTTCAAAGTGCAGTGCATTGAAAGGATTTTTTATATTGGGTGTAGAGAGTGATCAATCGATAGATGTTTCTATATTTTTTTACTCTTATTGTGTCAACATCCTCTTGGGGGGTATTGGCGATGGTGTCGAGGCTTCGGACAAAAGACCCCACCCCGTATCGGAATCGCCTCAAAGGATGCACCAGATGCTGAATCATTGGCATGACAATAACATTTCATGCCACTAGAAAAATTCTGGAGAAAGAAATACCTCGAGTGGGCGTGAGTCATCCAAACCACTCATTGATTACGTCTAATAAAAAAAGGTGCAACCAGAAATAAATTCCGACTCATCAAATCAATCGAAACCATTTTTAAGAGCAAGATTTCATCTCTATTTAGTCAGTGCGAATATTTTTTTTTATCCAACAATATTTCTAGGGAAAAACTATAGAAAAGAAAATATAGTATCCCCAGAAAAAAATAGTTGCCGGTGAATTTTCCTATTTCTTACAATGACCTTTAAATTGGTAAAAAATTTTTCAAATATCAATTTTTCAAAATGTGAAAAATTGAAAAAAAATTTTTCTATTCAAATTGTGGAAAAATTTTTCAAAACCTTTCCCGAATGTAAAATTGTTCTATTTTCCGATGTTTTTTGTTTCATAAAAAAAATTTCTGAAAAGTTTTACAAAAATGGTTGAAAAATTTGGAAAAAATATTCCGATTACAATTTTTTTTTTACTCGGTTACTAGCGTGTAAATTTTTCCCAGTCGTCTCAACGCAGCCATTGGCCAATGGAAAAATTTGGAGAAAGACTTATCTCGGCATTCAAGACAATAATCGAGGGGTGATAAAACTGGAGAAAGACGATAAGGTAAAATATCCGTGGGAAGTAACGAGGGTGCGCGGGGCGAGTTCGCAACTGCAGAAAAAAAAAATAAAAAATTTCCAAAAAATAGTGGTACTGCACACCACGTGGCTCCTCCTGGCAAACACACCTAGAAGACGAAGTATATTCCACGGGGAACGAGGTGCAATAAAGCCACGTTGATTCAAACGCGAGTTTTCCCGGAAAAATCGTCTCACCGGGGTCAAGTGAAATTCGGCTATCGGCGCCGGTTTAAAGTAACAAAAGTATAACATAAGAAGAGGGCATGAAGTACGTAGAGGTTTTTTTTTCCAGAGGCTAGAGAAACTGAGAGAGTGTCGGTGGCAGTGAGGTAGCACTCTCACTATTTTCTTTTTAACCGTTGAATTTTTATTCTTATTGTTTTCATCCAATGAGAGGAGGACTTTTTCGTTCTGGAGGTGGAATATCCAGGACGATTTATGCGTTTATGGGGGCCTTACTTTAGCTGGTGTCCTCGGGTGATAAGGACCCCCTTTGGAAGAGTTAGGGGGGAAGAGGGTGGTAAAGAGATCGTCGGCTGCAAGGTCACGACTTAAACTTCACTGGGGGTTGAATCGACGGAGAAGACGCCACCCCAGAAGATCGGTGCAATTCTAACGGTCGAAATCGTTTTGGCTCTGGCTCTTCCTCGGGGCTTCTTCTTGCATATATGGATGTCGTTATGGTAATTTTTATCCGCACCCCGAGCACTTCTTTCACCCCCACCAGCTTTCCAACTTTTTCGTCGTTTTTCCTCTTGTCGTGAGTGGCCGTTTGTATTTGGTGTCTCATGATTCTTTTTGCCGAGTCAGTTTCGGTTTTCGGTGATACCGAGGAAATTATTCCGGCATGCTCGATGGAATTCCACTCTCCGGTCTCGATCATGTCGAAAATCACTCGATCACGTACAGAATAATGCATTGCAAGTCATTTTTTGTCATGTTTTGATGAAAGTCATCGAGGGATTAATAGAAATGTTTGTGGGAATCGAATTTCACTTGCAACAAGAAAATTTCATTTTATTATTCCGTCTTTTTTTTTTATTTTTCACTTGGAAAAATCCCACTTTCAACTATTTTCACAGGAAATTCCAGAGAAATTTTTTAACCGTATAACAACTACAGTTGAGTTCGTTGCGGATATTTGCTTTTCGCATATGTGCAAGCGGAAATATTTCCATTGCATCAACGTTTATTTGATCATCCTCGAACCATGTGAAGTGTCCGATAAATTTCTCCAGAGAATTTACGAATAAGATATAAGACCCTGTGTGAGAGAAAAACCTAATGTTCAGATGACCCTGAAGGGAAAAAGAGGAAAATGTAATGGAGGAGAGTCCGGAGAGTTATAAACCGAAGATTGTGCGGTGGGCATGAAAATCAGTTGGGTTGAATGGAAGATCTCGGGGAAAAAGGGACAATTGAGAGGAGAAAAGGTGGACTGGCTATTGAGGACACGGAGCTTATCAGAGGAAGAGGACAAAAACAAGGGTGGAGGGAAAAAACTGGAAGGACTGTATTTTTCCACAAAAATTTAAAGTGCGACACCTTTTGTGATTTTATTCAGTTTCAAGTGACACGAGTAGAACAATTGCTGAGAAATTAGCGATTAAATTAACGCCTGTCAAAATAAATTAATAAATCCAATTAACCCGCGCCCTAAGACTCGGATGAGTTTAAAATTCATGTCACGATGTTCTAAAAATGGAATGAAAAAAATGACCCCTTCAAAAAGGGGAGAGAAGATGAAGGAAAAAGGCCAAGAGCATGATATTAAGTATTTCACGGTGAAATGGTCAAAGACCTGCGTGGTTTCATCCAATCGTCTGCTTAATAATTAAGAAGACGATCCCCGCAGAACAATATGAACCGAGAAGTAAAAGCCCGACGGTGTGGTGAAGAGAGGCGGGGGTAAACCAAAGAAGGGGATGAAATGTTGGGGGTAGAGAAATGATGGAAGCCTCTCCCGCAGTACTGAAGTGAAACTTGAAAATGACAAGGGAAAATGCCCTGGGAGAGGAAATGGGAACGGAGTGCCTCCAAAGTGGCCTCATCAGTATGCAAAATGTACGACTGCCAGGGTATACGCGTGCCCTCTCGTGTCCTCCATTTGCTCAGACTCTTAACCTCCCTTAGGTTCACCCCGTCTTAATCTCCTCTCCAACCCCCTCATAATACGGCTCAATATTATTAATCCCCCCACGTGATTCACCAATTCAATCAATTGATTCCACTCAGGAAATGCCTATTATCCAAGTGAAAAAAAGGGGGACATTTTTTATTGGGACTTTATTCATTTTTTTGAAGGAATTATTTACTTTCGATGGAAATTGAAATGTTGATTGGAATTGTTTCGTGTGAATGGAATAGGAAAGTCTATGGTCTTCTTGAGGTGACCCGGGTAAAAAAAAAATTGTAATCCGAAAAATTTTTCCACATTTTCAAAAAATTTCTGGAAAACTTTTTTTTTTGAAACAAAAATTTTTGCAAAATTTGGAAAAAATATTTTGATTACAATTTTTTTTTACTCACGGAAGAAAGATAATTCAGCAATAATTTTCATTCGATTGAAGTAACTATTTTCCTGGGTTTATTTACCCAACGGAGGAAGCTGCACCCCATCCCCTGGAAGTATCGCAGTCGGCCTCATATATACTCAAATGAGAACTGCTGAAATCTCCTCTCGGGTGTGCAGTCGCATTTTTACATCTGCCGACGCAGCAGATGAAACCAGTTGTGCTTACCAACTACTACCATCTTTTGTCCAGTTCCCAACAAATAGCCCCTGCATTCTCCAGCTCCCAGCTCCTAAGATCCCCCAATATCACTATCACCCACAACCTCACCCCATTTTTTTTATCATCTGACCTCACCCCCACGAAACCCTCGCTTACTCCATCTTGGAACCATCGCTTTTCCTTTTCTGCGAATCTCAAAGCTAGATTTCTATTTTGGATCTACCACACTTTGGCGTCAGACCAAATGCCATGAGTCCATACACGAAGGGCCGTATGTGCACCAACTGCATCCACATTGCAAAATTTTTCCCAAAAAAATAAAAAAAAAGTGGTAGATTATAAAAAAAAATATGTATAAGCAATGAATTTTGAGAATCAGTTAAAATTATTATCATTTTTTTTTATAAAGAAAAATTGATTCCTAACGTCATTTTTATACGGCTTTTTGGGTAATTGCAATTTTTTTTGACTGTGTGAGTAGAAAGAGATAAAAACCCGAATGGTCATGATGAAATGTGCAGAAGGTACAAACGCCTCAACCACTCCCCAAAACATCCTCTTTCCCTTGATATCGTCCACCCCACCATCAGACATTTCTCTTACCTCGCTCGCCACTAAAACCGCCTATCTCTCTTTGTCTTTTATGAGAGAATCCCTGCATTCCCTGTAAGAGGCTCTGTACTTCACCATTATTGTTGTATAAATCATAGACATGACCGTTGGCATAGCCCACCAGCACCAACCTCGGTCTTATTCCACTGCTGGAATTTCAAATCGCATGATGCGCCCTAACATTTCTTCCTCTCATCTTCTTCAGAATTTTTCATTCAGTTTATTCGTCTCCCTGAATTTATTTCTTATTCGCTCAAGAGATATTCCAGATGATGAAGCGAGATTATAATTATCTTCTTCTTTTCTTTAAATTTCAAAAAATTCGTAACAGTAGGATTTTTATTGTATTCATGCGAGGGGGGAAATGAGTTCGAGGCGATTGCCGGATATCTAATACCCGAGTGTTCGTCTCTGGCTCGAATAGCCGAAAAATACGAGGATCGGATAAGCCATGGACCTGTTTGCCAGCCACGTGTGCCCATCGTTCATTTCTCCTTCCGCATCAGGAAAAAAAAAATGAAAACACAAATAAACGTGGAGGCCTCGATAGAGCCACTGCCATTACTCTCTGTATCGAGGGGGACTAGTCTCGGAAAGGAAATTTCCATTTTTGCCAATCTCCAAATTGAATGGGATACATTATGTTTTAGGTGTCTTGGATGAGGAGCAGAGATCTCCATATTCTTACGTCAAGCGAATTCACGTTCAGCTCAGACTCCAGATTCACACCTGAACATGTGCCTGAGAGCGATGCCTGGACTCTGAGACTTGAGGACGCCAAAAAAACGGATTCAGGAAGTTACGAGTGTCAAGTCAATACCGAACCCAAAATTATGTATAAAATTGGACTGACGGTGAGAGGTAATAGTCGTGATTATAAATGTGAACTCGGGTAAAAAAAAATTGTAATCGGAATATTTAATAATATTTAATATTTTTTAATTTCTGGAAAACTTTTCAGAATTTTTTTTTTATGAAAAAAAAAATTGGAAAACAAAGCAATTTTATTTTTCGGAAAGGTTGTAACAGATTTTTCAAAACATTTTCCAAAAACACAATTATTTTGTTTTTTTTTTGTTTTAAACAAAAATTTTCTTTTTGTTTTCAAAAAATTTGCAAAAAATATTCCAATTACAATTTTTTTTTACCTGGGAAATCATAATGAATTTGATTCCTTAATTTCTTTTTTCCCGCTGAGTTTTTCCTGCGACAACATTAGTAGATTTTTGCTTTCCGCGTCATCAATTCCAAACTCGATTTCTCGGTATGATCGATTGTGGTAATTCTTCATCTTCACCTTCACAATTCTCGGTGTTTCAGATTCTGATAAGCCAGAGGGAGATGACGTCCCGTACTCCCAGCAGACGCGCATAAGTAAGTGGACTTTTAGAATTTGAGTTGCTCGTAGGTTTGATTTGCGAATTTTAACGGATTGGAACAGCTGTGACATTTTTTACGTGATGCATAACAAAAAATTCATGAATAAAAAAATTCATGTGACGTTTTGTATCGCTGATTTATCGGATATCCTATAAATAATAAATAATAAATAGAAGTATATATATTTACGTCTCAGTCTTTCCATATTTTGACAACTAATAATATAGATTTGCATAAAAAATTCACATGAAGCTAATACATAAAATTTATGGACAGTGAAATGTCACATTATTATCGGAATTCTGTGATTTCCCATCGATTTTCATGGAACAACAGGAAATTTCAATGGAAGCCATATCAATAGCTAAATAACACTTGTAAAAGTGTCGCTGATTCAATAAAACCCGCGAACCAAGCACCACATATGAAATAAAAAATCGGAATGAAATTTCAATTCAATTAAATATCTAGCCATTTTCACAAAAAAAATATCCACTCCAGCCTCAGTATTTACGGTTTTATTTAAAATTGTTTGTATCGAGTATTTTTTGCCCTTAACATTCGGTTGCTCTCGTAATTCCCATTTCCCTATGCAATTGTCAGTAGTTAAACAAAAAAAAAACAATAAAATTTGCTTTACAAACATTTGGTTAAAACACACGTTATTTTTTTTTCTGGAAATAAAAAACCATCAATCCTAGATGAGAAAACAATGCCCCGACAATTTGATCTCCTAGATTCTTGAAAAAAGAAACTCCTGCGGAGAAGAGTACATAAAGAAAGCCGAGATGAAAATAATCACTGGCATCTTTGGTCTTTATTCGAGCACTCGAATAGCCATATCATCGATCACCCCATGGGGGATGAAATGGCCAGTAAGGGTGCTATGTCTGTCCTTGACGCGTAGTGTCTCTCGTCCATTTTCTCAGCGTTAACGGCATCGAGCTATTCTACCACAAATACTAATGCACTATTAACAACCCCCTTTCCACAATCGTCTCCTGAAATCGGTAAAGGAGGCCGATTTTACTGGTCTCTCTAGACAAAATCCCCCATTTCTTCTACCGCTGTACAGCTCAAGGGCTCCTAACAAACCTTAAATCCCCGCCGTTTGTCGTTGCGGGAAAATTTATTCTCCAGATCTAAATACTCACGTTATTTTCACGGCGATTAATTTCTACGTTTTTTTCAGACAGATTCAGACAAAACCTTTCGCAAAAATAAAATTGTTCTGTTTTCCGATTTTTTTTTGTATGATAAAAAAATTTGGAAAAAATATTTCGATTACAATTTTTTTAACCCGAATCCTTCCATCAGAAAAGCAGTCTGAATTGAAAAAAATGTTTCCCCTGAAATAACAATTATTAAATGCCACATGAATAAATTTTCCTATCCCTCTACCATAATCCTCCAAATAATTTCGAATAGCAATAGTCAGACTGAAATTGAAGTAGACCGGCTGAAAAATGGAAAAAATAAAATTTCCATTGTTCCAGAATGGCCATTTTCATCTGTCGCAATCCATATTAAATTAGATACAGAGACAATCCACGAGACAGAAGTAGAAAACACTTTAATTATCATACATCTCCCCCCATCATTCTCAACTTCAAACACATCCAAGAGCGTTAATAAAACTTGTCGCATAAGCCGCTGCTAGTTTTCTTTCACCTTTGCTAGGGTGGTTTTTCGATTAAACTCAAAGTTAAATGCAACACAGCGACAGTCGGAGGAGTATGAGGCCGATGGTGGGGGTGTGAAAACCCTCGGGGTAGTCGAGACCTCTGCGTTAATACGCAAGGTATCTATATCTATATCTCAACGAGCGGACGCAAGTAATAATGCATATAGTGATAATGGTATAACGTAATATTACGCCACAGCGAAATGCAGTTCCCGGTGGATTAATTCAAGTCCAATAGGATTATCCTTAATCCGGCTGGTACTGTGCCACTTCTGGAAAACGCTTGAGGATTCTGAGGGGTGAGACACAAGGAGGAAAGGAAAATTGAAAAAGTACCTGACGAGATGTTAAAATTGTGGGGAGAATTACGAAATAATGACTCCATTATTCCGTTATTCATAGGACATCGACACTAATATGTCATCAATCCTGGTGACAGGTGGCAGGGCGAGGGGATGGGATTGGTTCATCTGCCTTTGCGGAAATTCCCGCGGTTCTGGGATTAGTACTGGAATAATTAACCGCAAACCCACCCTCGCTGATGCCCTTCCCCCTCCCTGTCCGACCATAATTACGACTTAATGGAATTCGTTGGGGTCAACGGGAGACAGAGACGGAATAACACAGCACCAGCTAGTCATTTGAGTTTATCCGCGGATGATTTGTGAATTCGCTAATGAATATTTCAATATACACTCGGGACTTACGCCGATTCATTAAACCTAGATTTATATTTCACTCATTATTTAGTTTGAATATTGGATGAGTGCAAGTGAAATCACTGTCGAGCATTTATCATTTTGCGGTGAAGTTTGTTTCGAAATTTTACTGCGTTACTTCATCATTTCCATTAATTTTGAGTTAATGTTTGATGAATTAGGGAGTTGTAATTTACTGCGGTTACTGGCATATTCAATACCATTATTTGTGTTTGATTGATTATTAATAGTAATTACATCGGCGGAAAAGCGCATTCGGTGCTGTTTATCGTTTTATTTCAATTTATTATGCTTCTGCGTTAAACAATGGATTTCAATAGTTATCATTAATTCAATGTAATTCAAATTTTGCCGAGTTAATTACCAAGACAAATGAGAAATTGAAGGTACAATTGAAAACAGCCAACAGCAACGGAAATGTCAAGAAAAATTAAACAGTCAGGATTTATTTGGAATAAATATTTTTTCGCCGAGTGTAACTGACATAATTCATGAAAAAACCTCAAACTCATATTTCAGGCTACGAGAGTACCGCCCCAGTGGCAGTAATAATGGGTCCAAGAGAGCAGCATGTGCCATCAGGCTCGACGATCACCCTTAGGTGTGTCATAACGTCGCCATATCAGACCCGTCCCATCAGGGGTGTGCAATGGCTTCGGGACAACAAACTCCTGACATTCCAGGTAATTGAAGTTCTCGAGATGATGAAGGATATACACTTGAAAACAACTCCAACTCTCTCTATCCCCATTCTTTCCCTCCTGTATTTTATTATTATCTCCCTGGGGCCATCACCGAGAGTATCTTCACAGCGATATTGCCATTTTCCCCGATACTGGCATTTGCCTCCTATCTGGCCCCCCCTTATTCTGTCAATTTTCGTTACAGGCGGGACGAGGTGGTATTATCATTGAGACAGAGAGGGATGCTGGTCGCACTGTGTCTGAAGCAACATTGGCAGCTGTGACGAAAAACGACGTAGGAAAATACACTTGTCGACCTACCGAGGGACGTGCTGACACTGTTCTTCTCCTTGTAGAGCAAGGTCAGACTATCATCAGTTGACCCTTATCAATGTCCACTCAAATCTACATCCAAATTTCAACGAATGATTTTTTACACGGAGAGCAAAAATTAGAATTCTGGAATCCTTGGGGCGAATCTCATTTCGTCAATTGTTAATTTTTTAAAATATGTTTATGGGAATATTTTTAGAAGTAATATTACTTTGAGTGATATTTGGAGGAATCCAAATAATTGACAGAAATAAGGAGTCTCTTCCGAATGACTCAGGAACCTCATGATTGCAACCTGAAAAAAACGTTAGAATTTTATTTCAATCCGGAGGGCCATTCTTCTCCTGTAACTGCCGTTCCGTGAAATTTATTAACCCCAATAAACGTTCACGTACCGTCGGTCCATCACTTCCTTACATATTAAGTGAAACCTGTCGACGATTAGCCCGGACGTAAATGCGCCATCGAGCGTATCTTAGAAATAGCGGATCCCGGAAATAAACCCACAAGAGGTTGGGCTTTTCAGCCTTACGACAGTATATCACGTTGAGGCTATTTGTCTGGCTGATCTGCCGAGGGGTTGATTTTTTGGGGTGTATTCAAAGAGGAGGGAAATGAGGGCGAGGGAGAAGTTGAAAGGGGCGAGTGGGGGTTGCATAAGGGGTTGAGAGTGGCAACAAAAAATGAATATACACTTTCCGAGGATTACTCTGGAAATTTCCAGTGAGGTCTTGAAATTTTTGATAACGACACAGTGACATGAATTTTCTGTACAACTCTTTAATTATCTGTTTAATTTTCTGGTAATTATCAAATCGCAGGCTCAATTAAATTTTTTTTTAACCGGGTCTCTTCAACTCAAATGGAATTTCACCTCCTATAATTGAAAATTCAGATAACTTAGTGGTTAAAAATTCAAGAAATTTTAAAGAGCGGAAGAAATACGCACTAGTGCTGTACAGGATTGTAAGCATGCTTGCATGAGATTCACAGGGTGGTCTCTATTATCGTGAATTTTCTTTCGGAAGTTATTGCCTGGTGGCTCCTGGGGGGCGGCGTCGCATTTTTCCCATACCACCCTCTCTTATTTGACTCTTTTTTACTCTCACCTACACACTTACCGCTCTGTACTTGTCCCTCTGCCCACCCCACTGTTTCTCCTTTGCCGGTTACCACTGTATACGCAAATGTGCGCTTGAACCAAAACGATAAATCAGAACTTCGGGGACTATCCGCTCTCTGCTCCACAATTTCTCCCAGTGTTCCCCTCCAGATTGTGAATTTACGTGGTTTTGCCATTGGACGACAGTTTCCTCCATGATTTTTCGAAGTTACAGGGAATGAGAAAATAAGTGGTTTTTGCTGGAGTAAAAAAAATCATGAAAGTTTAGGCAAGAATGGGGACAGAGAGAAAGAGCGAGACGAGAACTGAGAATAACTGGAGATAAAATTGAAGAGATGGATGCATTAATGGTGGTGCATCATCGATTTCAACATTCCATACTTTTCCAACGTCTTCTGTCTTACCTCTCAAGAGTCTCATATATCTCAGAGACAGATATCCCCCTCTTTCACTTTTTTTTTCCTGCCCCCTCCATTTTCTTTTACTTTCTCGGGTGAAAAATTTTTTAACCCCGATGAAGAACAGCGGAATTGGATTAAGAGGTAGCAGGTGGCGGCATATGGCGCTGGAGGGGTATTTTTTCCCAAGACTCATCGATTTTACCCAACAAAATTTTAAAGTCAAGAAATCAAGAAGTTAGATTCAACGACACACTGGAGCCAGAGAGTAACCCTTTCCATCCCCACCTCCCCGTTCCACCCCCTTTTCCACCCAGCCGAGCAAAAAGCTCTGTTGAATGGTTTTTGCTAAACCGGTAGGTTTGCGGCCCACACGGAGCTAATTCTTATGCGATCGTAAATAACCTCACCGCATATATCAAAACTTACAACGACTACTACCTCCCACTGCCACCCTCTCACCACCTCACCACTACCCAAGTCTTCTTCGGGCACTATGATACCCTCACCCCCAATTTTCACCGAGAAAATCTCGACTCCTCATCCAATTTCACCTCCCCAACCCTTATCAACGTCCCTCGTAACAGCCCCACAAAACGTGACTTCCAACTGGCCAGATTAAAGATACAATTCTCTTATTTTATTCATTAAGAAAGTTAATTATGGCCGGGAGAAAATTCAATTTTCCTAATTGCCCATCGAATTATTTTTCCCTCCTCATCCTCCATTTTTTCTCTCACCATACATTCTCTCCTTTTTTTTTTATCTTGGGTAAACTTTTCCTCACTGATATCCGGTCCCTCGTTCCTTTTCCTTTATTCTCCCACGTTACTTTTTCTCAGCCTCGTTATCTCCGGACCGGTGGATGCTGCGCTTCTCCAGTAAACCCCGTCGTTCTCACCGAGGGCATATTTTGTCCTCCCCCTCACCACCCCTCCACCGCTCCCCACAGCCCCCGCTGCCCGACCCCCTCAGGCCGCCCCACCAGAAACTTCCATCCCTCTTCTCTATTTTTTGGGCCATCCCCAATTTGTTGGCCAGAGGAGAGCTGTTATACTCGGTCGCGTTGGCAAGTCCCTCCTGAAAGTTTTCACCGCTGCACAACACTACAATTCCCATCCCTTTACCCACTGATATTTATTTCAACTGGCTAGACAACACTACCCCCTCTCCAATTCTCCCTTAACCCTGTGTATTTATATGCAATCATAGAGAAGAGGTAGAAAATTCTCTCCACTCCCCCGGAGTTATAAATGCTCACATACGAGCTCCCATAAAAGCGGGAGTAAATTGGATAGGCGTTTCGATTCCACTGAAGTATAACAATCGATTTTCTGCACTTACTCAATTTTCCACGTGAATCACGATATTCCCTCGTTATTCCCTCAACTCCACCACCTCCTCCTCCCCCTTGCCACCCTCATTCTTCTGGAAGGCTTCTCTACACAGGGGAATACCGATCGCGCCTTAAGAAATTTTTCCAACTCGAATGGAGGAAATAAAAGAGTGGGATCGAGGGAGAGACCCAACAGGATCACAAAAGTAACAGGGGGTGAGAGGGGGGTGGAGGGAGTGCAACAGCATTCGGTTTGCAATTCTTTGGTTTTTCAACTGGTCTTTCTATTCCACTCGACCATTGTCCCGCAGGGCCCTGTAGGGGTTGCCGGTTAAAAGGAGGTGGAAAGAGGGTGGAGTGGGTGGGGGTGGTTCAATCGTCTTGAACGGTAAATTCTATCGCGATTCGCACACCCCGGTGGTATATACACCGCTCAACTCCGTAACTTTAACCTCCTTTTCAGATCCTCCATACCCTTTTTCCTCTCGAATTTTGCTTTTCCCTCCGTGACTCCACGGGGACTGGGAGTTGCGCATTAGTGTAATTGCTTGACCTCCCCCCTTCTGTACCGAGTCAATGGCGAGTCAAGAACTAACCCATTGTTCGTTTCACTTTGATCCCCCACTTTGGTAGACAATATTATCTGCTATTTCGGTGAAAACTCTCGGTAATACCGTTACTCTGCGATTTACCTATCGCCTCCATCCACGGTACGTCGATTTATTTTATTTCAATGGGGTGGAGTTGTTGTTGTTGTTTCGGGGGAAAATCACTTGTTTTATGAACACTCTGCTGATAATTTCTTGAAATTTCAGTCATAAAATCGGAATTGCCGATTCCATTGGACAATTCTAAACAAATGCGTCCCTTTAGTTTCCTGAGGGTGAGAATTCCCGGTAGGAATTGAAAACCAAGGGATTTTAACTTCGAGGAAAGATTTTTTAATAAACTTTATGTATTTATTTGGGTTCATGATTGGTTTTTCAATTATTTCGTTTGACTAAAGGGAGAAATCAACCCCTAATTTTCGGACTGTTTTTTCAAAATATTCTTCATAATTCCAATTAATAGTTAATATTTGATGTGAATCGAGTGTCGAATAAAAAAATATTTGGATAGGAAAACCATTTCGTATTACTCAAACGAAAATATCAATTTAATCGGGACGAATCAAGGTGCCTGACTTACGGTGTTGCCCATGTAATTGGAAAGTACATAAAATTTATGGCGTACCTAGTGCAAGTTTATGAAGTAGCTCCGAACTATCCCGATATCTCCATGAGTTCCTAAAGTCGATTGGATTATCCTTTGAATTTCGAATTTGTTTTTTACGTTGTATTTTTGATATTTCTCTTACAGGCGAATACACAGAAGCTATGCAGCGAGATGCGGAGTACGTTTCATCAGGGTCTGAATTGAATAAACAGCATATTATATTGCTTCCGCTCCTGGGGATTCTGATATTGCGGAAATTCGGGGAGTATCTAGTGCCAGTATTTTTCCGTGTTTGAGGGAGTGGATAACCCTGAAGATATGAACTTGTGGAAGAGGTTGGATGGAGAAGTGATCGGATGTATTTGCTCTAATCTCATCAGAATTAGCGCAGAGCTGAGAGCAATAGTTAATGAACATTTTGCGTGGTAAGCATAAAAAGAAAAACGTAAGGGAGAACTTTATTTCTTGTTCTAATCTAAGTTTTTGTGTTCGTCATTTAATAAATGGTCGATATGGGACTGTGGGTTTTGGAAGTAATGGAAGAAGTCGATGAAATGTACAAATTTGGTAATTCCTCGAGTGCTGATGAAGATGATTAAAGTGTCTCAAAGAATTGAATGCTTTATTATTTTCCCATTTTTAACCCTCATGCATCCTATTTACCTTTCTCTTTATGATGGAAGAAAAATGGCAACCCTATCATAAATATTTCCCGGATTTCACGCAGCGGAGAGATTTATTGAGATCAAAGTGCTCTACCAAGTACATCAAAGAGACCACTCCAGCAGCAGAAGCAATTTTACGTTATTTCGACCGAGTTGGACTATAATCTGCTTACTTTCACATTTTATATCTTCTTCGTATCTTCTTATTTTACAAATCAGATTTGACTCGAGGATTTTCATCCTCCTTTGTCTCCCATCGTCTTTTTTATTTTTTAAAAAGGCAGGCAGCTCAATTTCTCACTGACTAATCATGAAAAATTCTCTACCTCCTTGTGCACTCTCGCGGATAATCAAATTGAGAGATGGATTAAGAATTTAATTCGATTAAGGTGATGGGAGATGAATATCCCCTCGGCAATCTTGTTAAGGGAATATGGTTGATATTTTGGAGTTTATGCTTTAGAAATTCAATGGCGAATCGTCTTTCAACGTCCGAGAAAATTAAGAAAATGCAACAAGATGTTGAAATAGTATAGAGTGAAATAGAAATACAGTGATAAATAAATAAAATATGAGGACACTTGGGCTTTCAGCATTTATTTTCGTGATAACTGATTTTTTCTCATGCAGTAAAGGTGAGGTATTATCCATGGGCAATGTAAACAAATAAATTACTCGCGTTTTTCTAATGTAATTTTTATTTTATTTTATTTCAATAGTAAAATGTGGAATGAATTTTTAGGCTGAAGAGGAGCAGAAGAAAGATCCGTTTCTCGTAGATCTCGAGAATAGAGTCGACAACGATATCGATGAGAATTTGCGACAAGAAATGAATGAATTAGAGGGTCGGCTCGATAAATCGAAGAATAAAACGAATTCCTAACTGTTTCAGGAAGGAACAGTACTTGCCGTCATTAACGTACAAATCAATATTAAATTACAGAACAGGCAGACATTTCTCTTCTAAATAAAACAAAATGAAAATTCCCGGACCATTTCCCAGAATAAATAAATAAATCATCCAGTCGTAGCCACGAAATGAATATTTATTTTAATGAAGTTTATTGATTATAGGAAAATAATTATCAAAAATTAGGACATGGTTCACGCGTTCCGCATCATCTTTATTTGAAAATAATTTCTATTGCATTTTTTTCTGCAGGATGATCGACGCTCACATCGAGTTAGCTGACACTCGATATATATTAAAAATTCTCATCTTATCGCTCGCGCCCGCGACATGTGACATTTATAAGACATGAAATTCGCCTTGAACGGGGGACAGAGTTTGATAGAAAAGAATTTTCTGCACTTGGCAGGTGCTTTTTTTCTTAACGTATTTCCCGTAAAAATCCAATTCAAGAAATTCAAATCTGATGCAAAAAAAAAATGAAGCCGGTGAAGGCGTCGATTACGTCGTCTCCCCGAGTGAATTCCGCCGGAATTTCTGTCCGCATAAATATTGCTAGATGCATTTTATACTCGACTCGTCGTAAATCGTTTTACATACCATCTACACCGCTGCCGAATGCATCTGCATAAATGTATCACCTCTTTTTTCCTCTCCCTTTGGCCTCTATTTTTCCGAGTTGTCTTTCGAATCAAGAATTCTCCTTTACCACTTGTTTCACCAATGCGGAACAATAGATCTGCACGTGTACAGTAATAATACGCCATAAAAATTCAACGGCTGTGAGTCACGATACAGAGAAATAGAAAACTCCACTAGTCCTACTAGTCGGTAAATTGACAGCATTTTAAATACGAAATAAATTTCTCGTATTCTGCTGAAATTGAATTCACGTAATTCCTATTTAACATGCAACTGAATCGAATGCAAGATATTACTCTAATTCATATTTTTTATCGTCGCTGACAAACGATTACCAATGAATGATTTTGAAAATAATCGGTAAGTGTTTTACCGGCGAAATATACCAATATATATCAATAGATTATTAAAAATATTATATAAATTTGGAAAAAATATCCCGATTACAATTTTTTTTACCCGAGTTTCTCCGTCCAGATGTCATATAAATAGCGAAAAAATTACTCGATTTTGAAATTTACAATCGCTCGACCCTCACCGGTTGGCTGATCGTACTGTCCACGCGGTGTAGTAATTTTCTGATAAAAAAAATAATCCGTATCATATTTATTCTCCCGCTGTACAACAGAGCGATTTAATTTCTCGGGGTGCTGAAAGTATTTAACTCCCCAGAGATTCAGCATCCCTGAAATATGAAAAAATATTCAGCATTCTCCCCGACTGGCATAATTCCTCCACCCTCTGGCTCCATAAAATTCTCTGACCTTTGTTGAACCGTAGCCCATCGCAAACGTGCAGCATGAAGAAAATAGTAAGTGCGATACTTGAATAAAAATGAATTCCAAAGTACATCTCCGCCATCATCCAAGCGGAAAGCCTGTGCCCCATAAATGTTAATAGATGCATTTCACGGTCTATCTGGGATTCAGTGACAGAGGTGAGACACGAAGTGACACTCGGTATCTCCACTCTTTTTTTTACCTTTTCCTCCCTGTGGCTGACAAGATATACATAATACTATTCATAAGCACTGAGGGACAGGAGAGGGTTGAGCTTCCGGACATGTACACGCGTTTCCCTCCCACTCATACACTCGACACTTGAAAAATCTTTTCCAAGTGCATCAGTGTTATCTCCCTCACTCCACCACCTGGGCCCATCCACTGCCGCCATTTTTTTTCCTCTTCTCCAACATTTCTCCATATCCTCGTGAAATATTCATAGCCAGTGTCCACGCATGCCTGAGTGAATGAGTAAAAATGCCATGGAATAAAGCGAAATTATAATTCAACAATTTCACCTTTTATTTTTCTCATTCATATTTTTCATTGCCCCCTCAATTTTCCTCCCAACCACTTTCACTCTATCCTGAATACCAAATTAATCAATTTGTTCTGGCTCAATTAATGTATTTACACGTGGGAAATCAGATCTCATTTTCATGGGGGCTTAATTATCGGTTAATAGTTTTAGGGGTATAAAACACATTTTAACGGAGGGTGGAGGAGCGATGAAGCCAGTGGAAAACCTAACTGGCATGGGGATGTGGAGTTGGTGGATAAAATAACGCTGAATTTACGTGTTATGGTCTCGTTAATCAACATGGTTTATGATTGTTACGGGTGAATTGCGGCTAGAATCAGGGGGTGGGTACTATACCCCGCGCACTTACACATATCCTGTACAATTATTTTCCACTGACTGTGGAACTTCGGGGGTGGATGTTTATGCACCTTGGGTTATAAATACAGGGAGTGGGCAAATTTTGGGGTAGAGGGGTTACGCATTGTGCCAGGGTATGGTCTCTTGTGGGACACATTGGTTAACGCTGGGTTGTATGACAATAAATTTATAGTCTGCCCAGTACCTACGCTAAATCGAAGGTTAGTTTATCCGCAATGGTGGTTGGCTAAATGTGAATGGGAGAATCTGAGGACACAATGAATATGTACCGTAGGGTGTCTCCTGGTGTCAAAAACATGCCGCTGTGGGTTAGTCGGTTAGTGAGGAACGTGGGAAATTGTTTGTTGGGGATTTGGGGTTGTTTTATGGTTTTCAGGGGGTAAACATTAAAATTTCAGTTGTCAAACTTTTTTATTACTGTATACTAGGGCGCGCTCCTTGCCCAGCGTAGCTTGCATTTTAATGTTGATGCAAATTTTTTATTATTCTTCATTTTTCTTTGCATTTTTAAACTGCATATGACACGTTTCAATAAATAATAGTCACGTGAATAAGTAATAAATACAAATTATTTGATGAGGATTAATTGACAAAGTAGTGGAAGTCAGTGAATGAGTAAATAACAATCTCAAATTCACTCCAAGAACTTTCGCCGATCTTCTGAAAAAGATAAAGTAACCGTTCCGTGGTTGCAGCGCAAATACACTGTGACATAAAAATGCCCAGGTAGAAAAAAAAGTGGCAGGTCGGGTAGAAACCCCATCGGCACGGAGGAGAAAAAAAAATGGTGCTGGCGATAAAAAAGTATTTGCCATCTTGTCCGTTGGCGCAATTCAATTTCGACATAACAAATAGCAAGGGCAGTGAGCTCGAATAGCTCCCGGCTATCGAAAAACAATTAAACTGGTAAAATATCGGCAAACACGACTCGATGGACGGCTGATATTTTATCAGCCAATGAACGGAAGTGGCGGGGGTTGCAGCCCCCACTCGCGGGGAGGTTTGGAAGGGTGGAGGAGGCGTGGGAAAGAGGTTTTTTTTTTTTCAAGCGAGAGCTTTTGAAGAGCATCGTGAAAATAGAGGAGAGAAATGCATTTTATACAGATCCATGGATATTCATTCATCCTGCCAACATCCTTGTTGCTGCGCATTCGCTGTATCTTCATTGTTTTTCTGCATGTTTAGCTTTTTGCAAATTTTTTTTCCTTTTTTTGTTTTTCAAATTGATTGTATTTATTTTTTCACTTTTTTTTCCAAGCTTGTCACGCGTTTACATACGCGTATGGCGTATAAAAATATCCATACGTCTGTCCACGTTCCATGATAATGAACGGACGAGTGATTTTAAATCCGAGGAATTTTGCCATTCGTTCGTTTCATTGACAGTACCGAAGGGGCAAAGGGGTCAATGTGCCAACACGACATTGCGATATTCACTGGATTTTCGCTATTAAAATTCGCGTTGGTGACGCAGTTTGCTGATGGAAGTAAATTAAATATTATGCCTCTACCGAGGATGCTGGACGTTTTCGCATAGATAGAAAACATTTAATTAAAATCGGTGTGATTGATTAACAGCGAAGAATGAAGAACAGTTAATCGTAATGCTTTATTTCGTTGGGATTAATAATTTCAACCAATTAGGAGGAAATTCCCACATCCAAGTTATCAAAAAAGAAAGATCAAATTCTGTTCGTATGAAAATTACTGCTGTCCATACGATTCTTCTGGAAATATTTGTAAAGAATTTAGACTTCCCGGGTAAATAAATTGTAATCGGAATATTTTTTCCAGATTTTCAGAAAATTTTTGCGAAGATAATTTTTTTTTTATTATCCTGTTGTTTCCTTCAGTTTTCCAGAAATTTTTTGAAAATTCGGAAAAAATATTCCGATTACCATTTTTTTACCCGGACGTTACAACGCTATTTTTCCATGTCGTCCCTTATCTTTACATGAAGCCGAGGTCAATACAAAAATTACGGAACGACTCACGTAAAAATCCCTGGAGATAAGGGCAAATTTTCCGGGAATAACCCAGAAAATTTATGATTCCCAGAACTTAATTTTCCACAAAAGATCCGAAAAACAACCAGTTCCTAGAAAATCAGATTGCAACCCAGAGAAATTAACGGGATTAAAATAAAAAATTCACCATTTTCCCATAAAAATAATTACAATAAGAATTTCTCCTCTCAATTACGTGAACTATGACGCGATATATCTCAAAGTTTTTTGCGTTTAAATTTCGCGGAGAAGTTGTGATTCACTTTTTGCTCCCGAAAATGATATCCAAAGGCAGCGGGCAATTAGCAGAAAGACGAGTGAAGAAAAGGGAGAAGAATATATTGGACGTGGGCCACGATGAAAATTGCAAGCAGTACGAGACCACTCACCTCTCCTTCGGCGCCTGGAAGCTTCATAATTACATACCACGGTGAGCAATTAAATTAATACTTTCGCACACCACCAGCCCAACTTCTTCCTCCACTCCTCTGTGGGCTGCGCTTTTCCCCATTCTTTCCCCCGACATTTTTTCCACCCCAAGAGAGGCGGGTTTCATTTAATTTTTCGCCCGAGGATTCGCCGAGGGAAGAAAAAGGAACGGAGTTATTATATTCCACTGAGGGACTTGGTTCCCTGAGAAATGACAATCCACAACCTCTTATTTCATCTTTGCCATTTTTTTTCCATAATCATTACATTTATTTAAACAGTAGGGTCACGTCAAGAGATATTATTTTTTCACATTATCTGTTATCGTCCTCGCATCGTTATCAGTCACTCCTGATCAATTCATCTCTCATCACTTTTTATTTACTTTTTTTTCACGTTTTCTGCCGATTTTTATTTTTCCTACAACATGATACACATTTTTTTTTGGTTTATCGGTATGAACGTTTATGTACAATGCAGCTCCTAGTTATATTTATTTTCTCTTTCTCTCTATAAAACTCAACACGGGTGAGAATTTCCCGTGACACCATTCAGCTCGTACCTCAAGACTCCACATCTGTCTCGTCCCCATCTCTCAATCTCCTCGTTTATTCTCTCGTTTCGTCTATATCTGTCACGTTATTTCCCTTCAGCGAGTGTCCTGAGACGTCCCATTAGTGTTCCTCGAAAATTGATTGATCGAGAAACGTCAGCACGAGGGAGATATCCCGAACGAGATGAAAGAATAAAACGTGAGATATGTCCTGTTACTCAATTACGAAACACTAAAATCTATTGTTGGATCTTGACTGAATTGAGGAATGGTACATCAGAGTTGAATAATTGCAACAAATTGAAATTAAAAAGAGTTAAATCGAATATCATTGTCGTGTGGTCTCGCGAGTGTAATAAAAGGTAATGGAACTGTATGAATTCCCGTCTATTGGGACTGAAAATTCAAGGGCTTTATGATTTCTCGTTTATTGGCAACGATGGAATACTTGAAAGGATTCGAAAACCAATATTTCATGCGAAGAAAATTCAATCATTTCATTTTCTCCCTCGATGCTGATTCACTCGAATTTTATTTTGTTACTCTGAACGATTCACTGTCTCCGTGGGATTAAACTTTACATATTTCCATTTACATTCGTCGTATAAACTATATGGAATGAAATAATACTATAAATTATTATTTTTCTTTATCATAGTGTTAGAATCGCCGCTCTTTGTTTTTTTTTTTGTTACAATCTCTCACTCCCGTTAAATATATATTTTTTAATCTGAAACAAAGCGTTTTCATTTTCTTTCAAAACGTCGAGAATTCAACAGTCTTAAATGTCAGCTCGTCGAGGTGCATATTCTCATTATTTTTCATCGTTAATGATCCTCTCTCTTATTTTTTTTTATAAAAAATCTATACATCCTAAAATTAATCTTGTAGTTGTGTCATTATTTTCTCTCGAGTATTCAATTAACTGGTACGATATTCGATTATCCTCCTGCATTTCGCCTAGTTTATTTAAATTTCTCTAATTTAATGGTGATTTATGAGCTATCAAAGTAGCATTACCGTATGCAACTATAGTATTCAATTAGAATTTTAATGAATTCATACTTTTCTCACTGAATTTCCCTATGTTTCTGTCAATTCGACAATTAAAATAATTGCAAAGAATTTTTTTTTCATTTTCCAGAGATAATTAACGATTCCTCAACCGATCGTAAAATCTGATGGATCAATTTTTCGTTTGGCATAATTCGTAACATCACCTCAATACACAACGAATAAATATTCATTTAATTTATTTATATTCATATATTTAGTTTTAATATACGTATTTCCTAATCCCGTTAACACCTCTCGATAATTTAGATGTTGTCACGTGAGAATAATTATTGAAAATATCGTAAAATACTTTTGATCTGTCGCTTTTGAAAATGTCATAGAGCAGAGCAGCGATTTAAATGTCAATTCACCCCTCGAATTTTTAAATAGATAAAGGATTCTCGGTACTACACTGACGCAAATAAAATGGTACTGGAAGAAAATATATAAAGAAAAGAAAAATGACAGAAGAAAGGGGGTGGTAATGAAGATGTGGATAACCTCCACGCCCCGTAGATAACTTTTTATTATCTCACAGCTATACTTTTATTCCCTTGTGCTTTTTCTCCTCGTTATGCTGGTTTAAATGTATTGTTTTAGTTTCCAGCCCTCCTTATCCGATCCTCTTTCACATTAAACTGAAAAAGCTTGTGAACTTGAGTTTACAGAATTTGCCTCTCCATTTTTTCGTAATTATTATTTCAATTTTCCCAATGATTGCACGTACAACGTGAAATTCTGAGATTCGATTCATTTCACTATGATGACGGTTAATGGACTCACCTCAATTGCTTATTTATCTCCATTTAAATACAATGTACTGTACAGTAATAACCGGAAATGGTTGAATTAATCATCATTAAGTCTACTGATAATTTACTGATTTACAGAGTTTAAACTTACGTCCCGTATCACTTGTTAACTATCATTCACCCTCGTATCAATTGATTAGTTGAATATTAATTTATAGCCCAGTCACTTAATTATCGTCATGTTCCTTGGATCATATAAACATTGTTCTTGGAAAATATATAGAATGAGCACGCACACAGGCATCAAAAAATCAACACTCACACTTTGATTAAGGAACGTACGCATTTCCTCTTGAAATTGCCTCGATCATCCACTTCATTAATATCTGCATTATTTCGACTCATCGTTGAGTGTTGTCTTTGGAATTTATTAGGCCTCTACATGTCGCCAGTATTCGCTCATCTCAGCAAATTAGCTATCAGGAGAGTCAGGCTTGCCAGCAAAATTGTTGGGGCTACCCCGCAGCTGCCACCATGCTGCATTGCTGCTGGATGCTCTCCTGCAACACAAAAATTTTCATGTCCAACATAATTTACTACAATTTAAAATCGAATCAATCATTTTATTCATGAATTTTCATTAAAAAAAAACGATAATAGTACTGATGTACTGCACAGCATTTTTTTCAGAATCCTCATTGTGAATAATCGAGGAATATCTCCGAATCTAGGGAAATAGTGAAATTTTCATAGGGACCATTTTAGTAGGTCCCATCCCACTCTAAAAAACAGGTAGTATTGAAAATTTCGCTATCTCACTCCGATTCAGTGATATTCCTCGAAAATGAGATTCGGAATTAAGTCGATTTCACCTGTTTATATCTGCGTTTATTGTAGTACCCTGAAATGGGGGGAATTATTGAATATTTTTATGACTCAAGACGATAAGTCGTTAGGAGCTCCCTACGGTCCCGAGATTGACGGCTATACCTTTACCTCATTAACGATAGCTTGTACCTCGCTCCTCATATTATGACCGAGTGAATGCGGTGGATAGTGCCGATACTCTCGCAACATTCGACAGCGTAACGCATCATGATCACTTTTGATCTATTACCGAACACCCTACCGTCATGGATAATTTAGTATCTCGTTAGTTAACCGATCGCAACGATCGCTCTCCACCCCCGGTAAACAGTGGGTTAGAACTGGTATACTCGTTGGCCACGTACACTCACTGTATAATTACCACCGTTAATTCTCCATGTTTCACTTGAGTGTGACATAGAAATACACGAGTACAATCCAATCTACATTGAATATCGTGGACTAGTAAGCAGGGGATGAGGAAAGTGTCAGCGAATGGGAGAGGATCAACGTGAAGTTGATGAGGAAAACGTGAAGTTGATCGGGATATAACCACGGCTTTTCCATCTGCCAACGGGAGAATTGGAACGATTCGCGGGAGTTGGGTACAAATCTATTGGATACCAATGTTCCCAGCGATGAAGGCAAAATCGATTGGCAATATTGTTCTTAAAATTGCCAATGATATTTTCATTTCACTCTTTTTATTTCTCAGGGATTGCACTCGTCGAGTCGACACGAAAAAATAAAAAATACTTGAATCGTCGTTATTTCGTCATCAATTCAATTCGAGGTAAACGAAGTTCAGTCGAGTTTTAATATCATCATTTATCATCAGATTGAGTTATCGATTGAGTGGAAACAAATGGAATGTTACGAACAACAATATGTTTTGTTTGAATTTCATGTGGAATTAACGAATCGAAATGTTAATTGATTTTGTTAACAAAAGTTGGTGGGAATCATTCGGTATTAATAGCGAACTTATCCGTGGAAAACGAATATATTCGATAGGTTTTCGTGTTCATTTAAAGGATATAAATGCCATGAGAGATTTCTCGTTACGTATCGGGTAAATATCGGCATTGGTAATTCGAGGCTCTCGAATGATCATGAGGCTGCCAGCAGTCTAGTATTGGCAACGGTATCGAATGTCTCTCCATTTTCAATGACCCAAAAAAACCTGACCACCAGCACCTGTAATTACTGCCATTACCGTGCGCAATATCAAATCAATATTTATTGCAGTCAAACGCATGTACGTGTGAAAATTGGGGACAATATTCCAATTACTAGGATAATTTTCAAATTGAAGTTATTAAAGTTCTTTGAGCGTATCGGTGAATCTTTCTGCCTTTTTTCACAACAAATTACAATAAAATGGAACCAGATATTTGCTGGTATTTAATATTCATGCTGAATTATTCGGGAAAATTCGCTCTTCAAACGAAATCCCGCGATCCAATCAGTTTAACAAGATGAAAAAAATGATAATTATAAATTTTTTAGAGAGCCGACGCTATTCAATTCGTAATTCTCACTACAAATAATGGATGTACTTTATAAAAAGCTTAACACTTGCAATGAAAATGAATCATATTAACATCAGAGTAAGTTCCGTGGAATTGGTGCTTGAATCCTATTTTATTAATCCCAAAAAAGGCACGCACAGCCTCTCCAGTCCAATGTATATTCGACAGGCAGAAATTAATGCTGCACAGTTCGTCTGCATAATTAATTTACTCCCCAGCGTACAGTGTCACCACATTGGCCATCGACGTTATTTCAAACATAGCTGATTACACTACAAAATTGACCGCAAATTTCAATTATTTCACGATAAACCTCCTCACCCTGGGTCTACAATGCGAATACACTGGGCAGGGGGTGAATATACTGGGATGATATGGAATTGGAAGAGGGTAGGTGGGTGGAGGGTGGAAGTGGTCAAGCGGGTATCCGGTGGTGGTTCGCGCCACGTACGATCTGCCGTATTAACGCGATTATGAATTGCACATAACATTGAAAACCGGTGCACACAGTCCACCCTCACACTCACCCTTCGTCCAAGTTGGCTAGTGTTGAATGTATTCGTGAAAATTTTTTGATAACACGCCCAACTATAATGGAGCTATTGCCACGCAAACTCGGATTAGACCTCCAGTGATTGTCGTAAATATTACAGAGCGGGAACCATCCAGGATCGGCCGCAACGCTTTTGTCATATTCTGTCGTGATTCGTTTTTCCCGGTGCCCGGGTAAAAAATTGTAATCGGAATATTTTTTTTAAATTTTCCAAAAATTTCTGGAAGACTTTCCAGAAATTTTTGTTTTGAAACAAAAAAAAATTGGAAAACAAAACAATTTTATTTTTGGAAAGTTTTCCAGAAATTTTTTGGAAATGTGGAAAAAATATTCCGATAAAATTATTTTTTTTTTACCCAGGTGAGTATTTCCCTTTTTCGCGGCGGAAAAAAATTTTTCGGTGATTTCAATATTTTTCATTCTCACTTTTTTCCGCTCTTCGAGAGTTCTGATATTATCGGTGGACTGATTATATACTAAATGACTGGTTGATGAAAAAATGGAATTTAAAAAATGGCACTCCACCGTAGAAAATTTATAGATCAGCCCCGAGGGTCTCAAATTGACGTATGATTGGCATTCGGTAAAATTGAATCGGTAAGGTAAATCTTGGAAATCTTGGATTTGAAATTAGGTCGAGGCAGTTATTTTCGAACTGGAGTGAATATTAAGTTAAATTAGATCTGGTGAAGCGAACGGCCTGACTCCCAAGATCATTCCACTCCGTCTTTCCGTCAGCGTCATTGGATTTTATGTCAGCGGATGTGGAGGTCGTCAAGATGGGGGATGAAAACGGAATACAGTGGTCTTGGATATTTTGGTAAAGAAGCCACTTACCATTCAGTACGTGGACCGTTACACTCGCAGAGTTGGCATTACTTGGAATGCAGGTGTAATTTCCGCTGTCGGTCGATCTTGCCTGCGTCACTAGTAGCTTACTCGTTGTTCCAGCTTCTGTCTTCTCCGTTTCCAGGGATACCCCACCCCTGTGGTGAACACTCGGATTATCAAATATATGTATTAAATAATTTCCGACGAGGAATATTCATTGAGTTATTCCAAAAAGAAGAAATCGGAAGGAAAAAATGTCTCCCGATTTTTCTCTCACAGAACACGAAACAGAAAAAAAAAGTTCAAAGTCGATGGCGTTTTTTTTGAGAACATTAAAAAACCGAAAAAGTAAAAAAACAACAGTATAATTAAAAGAAAAAAGTATATCCGTAAAAGTTTCTAGAAAATTATAAAAAAAATTTTCCGAATCAAATATTTGAAAAATTTTTCAAAGCATTTCCAAAAAATAAAATTGTTTGAAAAGTTTCCAGAAATTTTTTGCAAATTTGGAAAAAACATTTCGATTACAATTTTTTTTTTGCCCATGTAATTATGAATGAGGGATATAAATTTACCTTGGACTATCAAAATCCACAACAGATGCGCCATGATGCCAGGCAACACTGCTTGGTGGTGTGCTCTGCACATTAACTGTGCACGTGAGGCTTATGGTACTACCCTTCTTAACGTAAACGTCCTCAGGACCCAGGATTTTCGCTTGTGCCGCTGCAACACACAAGATCAGCGGAAAATATCCGCCTCAACTTTAGATTCTGGGTGATCGTTAAATCCCACTTTGCGGGACATTTAAAATTGATGGTGGATTAAAGGAGCGTCAATTTTCTTTAGTAGTCAGGATCCCAGGATTCACGAGGAATCGAGGAGGTGAGCCCATTGGGGATGATAAAGGAGAGGGTGCTAGAGTTCATCAAACTACGACATAACCAGCTTTCGAACATTTATAGCTTCAGACAACCCTGAGACCTATTTTAGTTTTTCTTATCGAGCGTGAAAGATAAAACGAAAGAAGATCGAAATAGTAGATGTGAGAGTGGAGCACATGAAAATAAAAAATTCCGAGATAAAAGAATCCTTCTTTCGCGGGAACTAATAGTCGGATATTCTTGAACCTAGTGACTTTTTCACTAACTTGAACATTTTTTTCCCTCAAAATAATAGAGACCTTTCGGTTGCTCGTCATTACCCTGAAATGCTCAGGTGTTTTAGTAAAAACTAATAAAGTGCAGTTCCTATTTCTTTTTAAGGGATGAAAAAATGAGTTGTTTGAGGGTTTCTCGAATTAGCTGACGTTTTTTTTTCCTTGAAGAAAGGATTCTTCTCTCTGTGAGTCTGAGAACTAGTAGAAATGATGAAAAAAGCGTAATCATGCTCTTGAAGTATTTTTCGAGGTATCACAGAACGGCGTCGTACATAAAATTTACGACGAGTAATGGATCCCAGGAGGGAGGAGGTGGTGAGGTTGTGGGAGGGTTTTCAGTGTCGTCGGTTTGTGCAGTATGTGGTCCTCCTTCTTTCGTTCACCGGAAGTTATCGATCTTCCGGATGACCGCGGAGAACGATTTATCGTTTCCAGTCCCTCATACCCCGGATCCTCTAAAAAAAATGAACGGTGGAAGATGGAGAGGACGGTGGGATAGAGGTAGATGGCAAATGTCACCTCGGGGATTCACCCTGTCGAGTCGTATCGCTCATGCAGGCTCAAAACCCCGAGAACTACGTCGACGTGCACAGTCGAGATATCCACGTTTTTTTTTATACACCCCAGACGATTTGGGGGTTAACAGACACATTCCGTTGAAAATTCACACAATCGACTACGAAAATAAAATTCAATAAATCATGAACAATGTATCTACGAGTTTGAAAAATATTGATTGATCGTGAGAAATGAAGTTGAGGACATGATCAAACGAAATGCCATTCATTTCTAACCTGATTTCAATTTGCGTCGAACCGCGTCCGTCTTGGCGTCGGAGACACGGTCTCTACCTGGTAGTGGAGTGACAGAGAACAGATAAAAGAGAAAAAAAATGATAGTGAACGAGTTAAAGATCGAGTGACGGGAGTGGAAATTTCGGTGGTGTGGACGGAGAGAGAATGTTTATTAATATTCTGCACGGTTTTCATTTTTCCCATCAATTTTTACGACTGAATTCCGGGAATTTTCAGTGATTTTTCAATTTCTATTGAAAATTCTGGGAACCTCGTCATTGGACGTTTTTATCACTATTTTTGAATAATCATAAATATTTTTCCATACTTTCCTTTTATTGTCACATACAAAAATATTTTAAAAAACTCCATTCCATGGATTCGATCAAAAATTATCGATGATAATTATTCGAATGTCCCGCGTCGATACTGAAGAATACTAATTCGATTCAACCGAAATGCAATATAACCTAGCAATAAAAAAATTCACAAGAATTACATTGAAATCATATAATTTTTACGTTCATTGAAATGCGTCGTATTTCCCGAGAATAATGTCTACAGCTAGTAGTTCCATCGAAAATTGAAGGAAAAATAGCCAACAGCGTACTCCACCGTCACTTCCACCCGATATTCATGACTGAGAACATTCACCCATCAAGGAAGCTGAAAATTCACGACCAAATAAAGAAATACGAGGACAGGGCAATCCATAAATAGAGAAATCCTCCGGATTCGTCGAGACGACGTATCGTCTCACTGTCTCGTGCTTGCATTGCAGATTACCCCCCAGCTCTCAGGGGAGAGAAGGACGCCGACTCGCGCTAGATTTCACGCGCAAATATTGATAGTCTTCTCTCTTGGTCGAGACAATGTCGGCGAACAGGGGGATGGTGGGAATTGAAGGGGGAGAATTGGGGGGTGTGATTGGGGGGTTTGGAATTGAAGTGCAGTGACTGAAGAGGGGTGAGTTGAATGGTGTGAGAGAGTTTGCCTTCTTGAATGTTCGAGGCGTGTCGGATAAGATATAGCTAGTAAGACAGGAGAAAGTGAGGCTGAGGCGCGTCGCAGTTGAATTAATCAGTGTGCCCAAGGCATATCCCCTTTTCATCCACCCCTAGCCCCATTGAAGTTTCAACCCTCCGTCTCGTTCACATCGGATCACTACAGCGATACCCGATTGCCCTACATTGTCGTTGTGAGTTTAAAAGGAAGGGGGACAGGATGCGAGATTAATTAAACATGCTTCATCGACACTGCACTTTATATTTGAATTCAAATATTTATTACCTTCCACTCGTAGTGCAAACGCCAATTTCATTTTCGGCTCGGTATTCACCTGGCACTCGTACAATCCGTCATCCCTTGGTTGAACGTAATTTATCGTTAATCGCCACTCGTCGCTACCCTCTGGATGCTTCACTGAGAATCTTGCATCGCCTGTGTACGTTATTGTCGATGACGTCAGTATGTGCATGTCTCGCATTCTCATCCAGGATATCTGTGACAAAAGATCATTCAGGGATTATTTTCTGGTTATGATTTTCGGATAAAAATTTTCTCATTGTCTTATGGATTTTTCCATTTGTCGATGCAATTATTATTCACTTCAAACAACTACAATTTAAATATTCACTTCGTACATTTTTAAGACAAAGTTGTAACTGGGGTGTGAGAAAATATCAGCGGATGGGTGTACTTTTTACCGGTGGTAAAATATATATTTCAATATTGTTTTTTATTATATTTTTACGGTGAGGGGCTGTTTGGAGTGGAAAGAACGAGCGTATATTGCACCATTGGACATTTTATGGTGGAGCGTTGGGGGTTGTCTCACTGCCACCCCTCGACAATTATGGGAGTACGTGCTGGCATTCACCGATGCCCTCGCAGGTACCATTCCACGATTATACACTCCACTATTCTCATACCCTCATCCAATACCAACGACGCACATAGGTCATATCCCCTGGCATTCAGAGGTGTTTCCACGGTACCTGGTAGACTACGGAGTCTCGTTAATTACCCCCATGACACCAGCAAAGTCACGTCGTTTACCTCGAGCGCTTCTTCTCAGGATCCCCAACCCCCCAGACCCACCCAAAATCCCCCTCAAGTGTTTCCAGTCTTGGAAAATGACTAGAAGAAGTGAAACATAACAAACTACTTCCCTTACTGTTTTCCTCTCAGTTTTTTACTTTCTCTCTCTCTTCGAAAAAGAGTTAACTAATTGTTCTCTAAAGTTGAGCTCATGGATGGGAGTAAAAAAATCCAACAACCGCATGACAAATTTCACTTAATTGTTTTTTGATGAACAGAGTGAAGTGGAAAAAAAGCGCTTTCAAGGGTTGAAATACTACAGAAGAAAAAAGGGGGGAAAAGAAAAATTCCATGGAACATAAACTAGGAGGGACGATGAAATTTGATAGAGCAGGAAGTTGAGGCCAAAGCTTTTCTGTGGTTTTCTCTATTAAAATGTAAATTTGGAAAATACGTTTTCCGTGTCTCTTAATATCCGGGGTTGCTCGTCATCATCAGCACATCCACTGGGTGCCACCAGTCGCGTATAAAAACAGAGAGGAAGGATCATATCCGTATTATTCACATTACTCTATCCCTCCAGCTCTCTCCACAATTTTTTCACTACCCCTGAAATAGCTGCATACACAAGGACGAGTAACACGATATCACGGATGGAATTAAATATCCCCATTCCACTCCCATCCCAGTGTCACCATTTTACATGGTAAAATAGAGCTTTTGTAAAGCTTGAGAGAGTGCACGAGCTTGCAGATTTGTTCGTAACTCACTCGAGTAAAAATCTCACTTTACCAACTCCTAGCTGAATTCCCCTCAACTCGAGATTGAGTCTTCTGCTTCATTGTCTGACCATATACCGGCTACAACCCCTTGTCCCCTTTTTGCACTTTCATTCTTCCATTTTTCAGACTCATCCTCGCACCGGAAAGCTGAGAGTTTGCACGGTTTAATGAGAAACAAGATGAAAATAAACATCTTAAGGATATCCGAGGGCTACTGTCTCCGCCATGAAATGAGTTTTCAAAAGATTATGTTTTTCGGAGGTCGTCTATGCAAAGTCAAGAAATTCAGTGCTGGCAGGGAATTATTCTTGGCGCATCAGGGAACGCAGCTTGAATTTTTTACAAAGATTGTTGGGAATGATTTACACTACATTAACATTTACCCCGAAATTCTCTTTTTTAAAAATCCAGATGAAACGAAAAATCTCACCATTTTTTGCCACACAGCTTATTTGTTCAAATAATTATTATGTATAAGCATATTAATTAAATTTCTTCATTCAAAAAATTCTTCCATTATGGAATGAAAAAACGATATATAAAATAAAAAAATGGGAATAAATGAATAAATATAATTTAATAAATCGATGAGTTTTGATGGATCGCGATTTTATGGTATAAGCCTCAAAGCTTTTTCTCCCCATGGAAATTGACAAATGGTAACCGTGAGGCAGAACCTTGCACTGAAAATACCGATTGCACTTGTATCGGAATAAGTATTTCAAAAGCGGTAAAAAAATGTAGCATAATCCCGTATTCTTTGAAATCGATGGAGCTTTACCCGGGCAAGCGTGAATGTAAAGCGACTGCAGTTTACCGTGAATAAACCATCTCCATCTCAATTTGCCGAGTGGCGTAAGCGATGAAATGGTTTTGGATATTCCGGGGACTGAATACCAGAGCTTAAAGGGACGAGAAAAAGACGACACCGAGATGGAATAAGATTTGCCATTTTCTGCTCAGGTCAACTCGAAAGAAGACCGAGAGTGTTCTGCATTTGCACGAGTGTTACCTCAACCCGAATGATTCGTGAAATCTTCATCGCCAGTGGCTGTCCATTACAATTTTACGGAGCCAGTAAATCTTTTGATGATAAAAGACAGTTTAAAAATTAATTCATATATTTTTCATTTTTTAACCAGCTTGGATGAACTGAAAATATTTTTTAATACCCGTTGGAGAATTCCACTCAAAATTTTGAGTTAGAAAACTTTGAATTACTGGAACTAGAACTCCAATCGACATAATCACGAATTTTTATCATCGTAGATATTTATTCCATAATTATAAATAATTGGTAACCCGAATTGAATTTCCCAATAAAAAGTCATTTTTCTTGAATCTAGACTTGGAACATCACGAGATATTTTTTCTCGGCAAAAGCATTTCCAAGGGAGAATATTGTTCTCCATTTTCAATGAACAACGCTATTCTCATTTCAGCGGTTGTCCTCGTGCAATAATTCCCCAAGTACACAATACACATACCACCGACTAACTCAGGGGGGAAATATCCCGACAATTGCGCGTACAAACAGTGAAAAAAAAAACAACAACAACGACAACAACTGAAGAAGAGTGACTGTGTGTACACGTGGATAGGAAACAGCGGAAGAAGACATGAAATCGAGCAGGAGATGTATACTACAACTTCAGTACTGAAAATATATGGACTAGTATAGTACACTCACGTGGAAAACTCCAAAGACATTTTGAACGAATTTTCAGAGGTTGAAATTGTACGTACGTACGACTCTTCGCGGCCTTAAAAGCGATTCCTCTGTACCCCCCACTGTTCTCCCACCGAGAATATTTTCCAATTCGTTCACAACTTATCCCGTTGGTAGATTTTTCTTCAACTCCTCGATGCACCCTCCACCCTTAAGATTTTTCCGTATGTTGCCACTGGGAGGGATTCAAAATGAAATCGCTACGGTGTTCCCTCTGTGCCTCGATAAAAACGAGAATTCAGTCTTCTGTTGAGCGTTGAGACGAGATTGTCGTCGATTTATATTAATGGCTTTGGAAAATAGCATTTTCACGGTGAAATGAATCTCACTCAGCATCTCTGAAGCCTTCATTTATCCGGAATATCCGTTCCATCCTCTTTTTATATATTTTTTTTCTCATTTGCTCTCATTGTTTGGAGATGGATATTTTTTTTCTATTCAATTTTCATCTCAATAGCCTCAACCAGAGTGACGAGATTCTGATCTATTTTCAATATCATTTTATTATCAACGTTTTTTTTTTTCGTCGAGGGAGAGATTTTGCGGAGTCGCTTGCAGTTGCAGGCACTCGATGTGCTCCCACGAATTTGTAATTTTCGATATTGACAACTGATCCGGAGATGTGGAATGAGAAGGTGAGGGGTCGAGGGGGTGGTAGTGAGGGGTAAAGGGTGGAAATTCAGTGGACCCGTGTCACGATTTCAACGCGATTCGGTCTACCTTGCACGTACCACTTATTGGCCGAATGCCGAGTGCACGCAATTGCCAGATTTATGGAGTTCCCCCGCCAGAACAACTGGACCACAAGTGAAGTGAGGAAGGGAAAAGGACCAGAGACCAAAGAAGAATGGATGAAAAAAATGAAGGAGAGAGTCGAATGAGAATGCGAGTGGTGATTTGACTCGAATATCAAAGAGGTTACAATGGAGTGGCTGTATAACTATTGTAGAAAATATATATTTTTTTTTCTCCCGAAAGAATAAACGTGGATGAAGTGGTTGGAAACTGTGACGGGTGGAGTGGGTACAGTGGGTTGAGTGATGGAAAACTTATTTATCGCCGAAGCTTTTCGACGGCGCTTGATTTACAGCGATCCCACGGAAATAAATAAACTCCCGATACACTTGAGTTCGAAGAGAGAATAATTCATGTAACCCTTCTCCCCCTCACACCAGCGGCTAAAACTTTCACCAAGAATTTCCTGTAAATTTCCACTTCCTTTTCTATTCCCATTTTTTCATCGTCCGTTTAACTTCTTCGAGCAGTCCTTCCCCTCCGTAAACTGGACATTAATTGATTAATAGTGAAAAGTTCGAAGGGGGAGGACCATCATAATGCTCATTAATCGTTTTTCCTGCGGGAGGATGGAAGGGGTGAAAAATCTTGGTGGTGGCTTTTTTTTTTAACGAGCCAGACCTTCGGGGTGAAATATGGGGGATGATCCTATGCAGGCGAATAAGACTGTGGAATATATGGGCATGTGGTAAAAGGGGGTGGAAAAAAAAAGAGGAGGGGCATCGTTACTGGAGGCTCATTAACGAGAACTACCCCCAAGACACCCCTTCTGCAATGCGCTGGGTTCTCCTCTGGTCTCGTACAGTAGACGAGAAAACCCTCCATGCAAGACCCGGGGACGAACAAGGTCCAATACTAATTAGCCAGCGTTGTCCCATTGGTCTTGTCTTTTCCACTGAGAAATTCCGGGAAAATAGAGTTGGAATTTTAATTACCGAGTGGATGAGAATATTTTTGATAATCTCACGTCATTAAAGTCTCGTCGACGGTTGAATTATTTTCACGGGGCTACCAGTCGTTCCAGATGGACTCTCAGGGTTGTGGATTTAAAAATGACCTGAGGTCACTTCGTCTGGAAAACTTTTCGGCCATTCCCGGGATTCAATAAAATTTCAGTTCTCCCCTGGACATGCCCACCAATTTTCACATTAATTA